TTGGTGTTTTCTTATTTGGTGAAACTCGTGATGCAATTCTGTTGTTGGTTCGAGGTCACGACTATCTGGTATTGTATATATGATGCTGTTTGATTGCTGAAAATCGTTATTGCTCATCTTCCTTGCACACTGTTGGTCTAATTCGAAGGTTTAAGAGGTGTATGAAGGGTTGGGGGATTTTTTTTTTTTTTTTTTTTTTTAGGGCTACGCCGCGCTCTGCAGCAGTGCAATACAGAGGCGACGCTGGAGGGGTCGAGTAAGCAAGCCTACCCGTCTGACCCCTCCGTGGCCCAGAAAAAATAATTTAATATCATGTGGCCCGATGGACCACGGATCAGATATTAAACTGATCAGAACAGATCCTACACTTCATCTTAGCCAAAAGGCCAAGAAAGGTACGAATTTCTGAATTTCTGAATTTCTGAATTTCTGAATTTCTGAACTCTTCGACAGGGTTGCATGTTTTGCCAACCGATCCTCTCAGAAAAAAAAACGTTGAAAAAACAACAAAAAAGGTATCCCTTCTGGGTCCATGCGAGTATTTACGGCGGTAACTTCTTCGCCGTGTTCGATCTCTTTCGTCTTCCTCACCTGGTCGCACGTACGGGAGCCGTAGCGCATAGCGCGGAAGAGATCGAATACGGCGAAGAAGAAGTTACCGCCGTAAATACGGCGAAGAAGTTACCGCTGTAATTACGTGCGCGCAATCAGTCGAGGCAGATGCGTGATAAGGTTAGTTGGTAGGCTACCAGCCGGGCCGCGTGGGTCCCGGGTGGCCAGCCTGTGCAAGGAGGACCAGGGAAGGTCCCAGCAAAAACAAAAGAACAAAAAAACAAAATCCAAAAAACCCGGAAAAAAAAACTATGTTATGCAGAAAAATAAACTGAACAACGTTTGCCTCAGGGTGCCATCGAAATTCTTCACCAAATTTAGAATAAAAAATAAACTTTAAAACTAGGCTGCCAGAGTGGCCCGGGGTCACTTGCTCGGCCGAGCCAAAAAGAATAAAAAAAAATAATAAATATATATATATACAGGGTAACCGGCGTTCGGGACGGGACGAACGCCCGAATCCGAACGCCCGAACGTATGGGACTTCTTGGGGATGCGTTCGGCCGTTCGGGCCGAACGCGGACCCAAAAAAAAAACAAAAAAAAAACAAACAGCTCATCAAAAAACTCTGAAAAAAAGATATGTTATGGAGAAAAATAAATTAAACAAGATTTGCCTAAGCATTACATCCGAATTCCTTACCAAATTTGAAAAAAAAAAAAAATACGGAAAACAAATACTAATAATAAAAATAAATAAAAATAAAAAGAGAATTAAATTTAGTGAGTGCGCTAGCATGTTTTCGACACCGCCATCTTTGGCGATTTTTCATTTGTTTTTGGCATAGCTAAATGCCCTGAAAATTTACAGATGGGTACTTCACATAATACAAAACCTGCTTAAAAACGTTCAAAAAATAATAAAATTGTTTAGACCCCGAACTAAAGTGAAAACAAAAAGTAAAAAGTGAAAAAATACGTGGGCGAGCACGTTTTGACACCGTC